ACCCAATGTAAGAAATATCATTTGATTTCTTGTCTGCTGCTTACCTGGGTGTTGACAGTGGCACCTAGTAAAATGAAGCCATTTCCAACCTCAATTCCTTTGCTTTTTACCATGTTGATTATCGGTTCACTGTGGAGGATTTTTATTTCATGTTAAGCTGTAATCCACATTTTAATCTTCAACATTTAGTGATTCAAGCTCTTTCCACTTTGGCAAGTAAAGCTGTATCATCTGCATGTCGGCAAGTTATCTTCCTCTAATCCTGATGTGGCAGTATTCTTCATATAGCCCAGCTTCTTGGATTATTTGTCCAGCTTATAGATTTAGTAAATATGATAAAAGAATACAACCCTGATACATACCTTTCCTAATTTTAAACCATATAGTATCCTTTTTTTGTTTGTTTGTTTGTTTGAATGACTGCTTCTTAATCTACCTATAAGTTCTACATGAACACATTAAGTGTTCTGGAATTTCCATAATTCACACGTTAACCAAAATTTGGTATGATCCACATTGTTGTTGTTGTTGTTGTTAAGTGCCTTCGAGTCGGTTCCGACCCATAGCGACCCTGTACAGGGTTTCCGAGGACATAGTCAAATTCAATTATGTAGAGAATAAAACAAAGGTAAATATATTTTCTGGTATTCTCAGTTTTCTGCAAAGATCTAGCTGGCAAGAGCAATCCTATCACTCATTTCACATCCTCTTCTGAAATCAACTTGAATTTCTGGAAGTTCCCTATTCATTTCTTTAGTAACATCAGCAAAATTTCACTTGCATGTAATATTAATGATATTGCTCAATAATTTTCATATTCCATTAGATCACTGTTCTTTGGAATGGGCATGAATATGGATCTCTTCCAGTATGTGGGCCATGCTGTCTTCCAAACTTCTTGACAGGGACGAATGAGTGCTTCCGTCTCTGCCTTTGCGGATGCAGACCAAAGGGCATTCCATCATTACTGAAGCCTTCCATCAATGCTTTCATGCAGATTGGTCCTTCAGTACCATTGACTGTCGATCATATGCTACCTCCTAAAATGTACCAAAGAATTATTTTTGGCACTATGACTCTGTGTATTCCTTCCATCTTCTTTTGATACACCCTACATCTGACAATTTTTTGCCCAAAGAATCCTTCAATATTTCATCTTAAGGCTTGACTTTTTTCTTCAGTTCCTTCAGTTTAAGAAATACTTCTTTACCTTGTCTTCTCTCAAGCTGCCCTTTGAAATTTTCTGTTCAAGTCTTTTACATCATTTCTTCGGTTCCCTTTAGATATTCTGTACTAAAGTGCAAGTTTCAGTCTCTTCTGACACCTTTTTCTTTCTTGCCTTTTTAATGACCTTTTTGTTCTTTTTAGGTATGATACTTTTGAAGTCATCATACAACTTGTCTGGTCTTCAGTCATTAGTGCTCAATACATCAAATCTATTCTTCAGATGCTCTCCATTCAAATGAGATATATTCAAGGTTGTACTTTGACTCTCGTGGACTTGTTTTGATTTTCTTAAGCTGAAACTGAACATGCATATGAGCAACTGATGATCTGTTCCACATTTGGCCACTGGCCTTGTTTTGGCTAATGGTACTGAGCTTCTCCATCATCTCTTCCCACAGATATAGTCCATTTGATACATGTGGTATTCCAATTAGCAAGGTTTATATAGCAGTATTTACGAAATGCTTAATAAAATATTAAGCCATATATTAAGTGTTTGAAAATCTATCTTAAAAGGAAAACAGTCTATGCACTGAGAGTACTGAACTAACAATTTTTTAAGGAATATTATTTCACCAGTATTTATATTTTTTTATCTTTAGCATAACTGGAAAACAATTTGCCAGAACACAGCTCAAGGTTGTGGTGAGATCACCCAAAATACAGTAACAAGTTGTATGCTAATGAACCCACAGGATATAAAAACAGTGCCCCATCATGTAGCGCCCCATCATTTCAGATCTTCTCTCTTTAACGTGCAAGCCCAAAAGTGTTTCAAACATTCCAGAATTAAATTACTGTGATTACTGAAGATTTTATTTAGTGGTTACTTGCACTTAAAAGGTCCACCTATTTTCTGAATGAATTTGTTTTTCATACATTTATAACATGCTAATAATTCCAAAATAAAAGGCAAAAAAAAAAATAGTGCTGATAAAATGCTTAAAAATTATCAAGTGAGTATAGCTAGTTTAAATGTTACAGGATTTAAATGTTCACTCATTTTTTTAATGCGGTTAAGCAGCACATATCAAACCACACAAGAGATTTCTTCAGATACAGTTGAAGAGCTGAAGAATGCTGGAAACTGAGCAACGGTTAGAGATCAAGGTATTCCATACAACACCTTCCAGGTGGGGAAACTAGAGGAGTAGCTGCTGGTCTACGCCACACAGGGACTGGCTAAGCTCTGTAAGAAGCCCAAATCTCCTCTAATCACATCACAGGGGTCAGCTTTATATCTGCTTTGGGTAAATAATTAAGTGAGCATTTTTGTTTTTCTACACAGACAGAAGAGTATTTCCTTTTTACAAGTTATAATATACGTTTCATTGACACAGGAGTCTGGACGGCACTGTAGGATAAGCTCTGGACTGCTAACCACAAAGTCAGCACTTCAAACCTATCAGCAGCTCTGCAGGACAAAAATGAGGCTGCCTACTAACATAAAAATTTGTTGTTGTTAGGCGCCATCGAGTTGGTACCGACTCATAGTCTCATAGAGACCGTATGCACAGCAGAACGAAACACTGCCCAATCCTGGGCCAATCTCACTATTGTTGCCACGCTTGAGCCCATTGATGCTGCCATTTTTGTCAATCCATCTTGTTGGATGTATCCCTCTTTCTCTCTGACCCTCCACCTTACCAAACATGGTATCATTCTCCAGCGACTATTCCCTCCTGACAACAAGTCCGAAGTATGAGAGACAAAACCTGGCCATCCTGGCCTCCAAGGAGCACTGTGGCTGCACTTCTTCCAAAACAGATCTATGGGTTCTTTTGGCAGCCCATGGCACTTTCAATATTCTCCTCCAACACCACAACTCAAAAGCATCAATTCTTCTATGGTCTTTCTTATTCAGTGTCCAGTTTTCACATGCATATGAGGTTATTGAAAATACCAAGGCTTGGGTCAGGCACACCTTAGTCCTCAAGATGACATCTTTGTTCTTCAACACTTTAAAAAGGTCTTGTGCTACAGATTTGCCTAATGCAATACATCCTTTGATTTCTTGTCTGCTGCTTCTGTGAATGTTCATAGTTGATCCAAGAAGAATGAAGTCCTTGACAACTTCAATTTTTTTCTCCATTGATAAGAATATTGTTTATTGGTCCAGTGGTGAGGATTTTTGTTTTCTTGACATTGAGATGTAATCCATACAGAAGGCTGTGCTCTTTGCTCTTCATCAGTACATGTTTTAAGTCCTCTCCACTTTCAGCAAGCAAGGTTGTATCATCTGCATATAGCAGGTTGTTAATGAGTCTTCCTCCAATCCTGACGCCACGTTTTTTTTCATAGAACCCAGCTTCTCGGATTATTTGCTCAGCATACAAGTTGAATAAGTATGGTGAAAGAATACAATAGTCACTGAAAACCTCATGAATAGCAGAGAAACATAAAAATTTACTACAGTCTCAGAAATCCTACACAGGGAGTCAGAATCAACTTTATGGCAGTGGGTCTGATTTTGGTTTACTGATAGAGCATTAAATAAAAATTAAAAAGGCAAACATAAAATTCAAATGACAATTATGGTATTAACACTTCAAACTGATGTGAAATTCCTTATCATTACTAATTATATCTGGTTCAGAGGCTGTGTGATGTACAAAGGACCGACGGTCTCCAGGAAAGTACAACTGAAAAACAACTGTTTAGAATGTTACTTTTTAAACAGTAAATTATTTTAGGAAAACAGAATCCTAAGCATCTTTTTCGCAAGCAAAATGTTGATATGTGATTAAATATCTTCTGCAAAGGCTAAGAGGAAAGTAAATTTCTAGTTGAATACTTGTTGCTGTTGTTGTTGAATGCCACTGAGTCGATTCTGACTTACAGCTACACTATACAAGGTTTCTAAGGAATGTCTAGTGGGTTGGAACCAGCAACCTTGCAGTCTAGTGCTTATCCTACTGTGTCATACCAGGAATCCAATAGACAACCAGGTGTTAGAAAAGTTCTACCTATAGCTCTAGAGGGACAAGCAGTAAGATGCTTTGTTCTAACCAAAAAATACTTTCTGATTATGCTCTCTTCAAATGGGCTCTATGTGCTGATGGAACCACTGGAATTATTCTGTATCTTGTCAATATCCTCATTTTGATATTTTATTACAGCTTCATAAGATGTTACCACTGTAAATGTCACATGGATTTATTTTTCTGTATTATTTCTTACCATTGCCCATAAATTTACAATGATTTCAAAAATAAAACATTTTAACTTTTAAAATTAAATAAACAAACTTCCTTTTAAAAAAAAAAGATGCTTTGTTCTTACGTTTCAACACTGCTGAGATTTCACATTTCCAGCTTATTTCCTCTTAACAAAATCTGCTTAAAGTGAAATAGCAAATAGGAATCTGTGCTCATCACTGGCCCTCCATTTGGGTTTTTTTCCTCTCCCAACATCATCTGCTCTCATCCCACCAGCCAATGGAGCATGGAACTCACCCTGGATGTCCACTCTCAGGGATCCTTTCCTGAACCAGGCTAGCTGGGACTCAAGTAGATGTGTGTAGAAGAGGAAAGGGGAACTATGTTATAATAATAAACAATTCATATACATTAATGTGAATATATGATGGGTGTTTTTCCTTCACTCAAATTTCAGTGTACTTCATAGATACCATTGTGCCTCCAACATGTGACATGGCACTTAACGTTTATTAAATGAAACAAGGATATTAAAGAAAAGTAAAGACTAATGTGTTTGCTTCCTATGCCACTAAGGAAAAGGACAGTGAAAGTTACCTGATCCTCTATAGGCATGACTAGAATGCCACCAACTTTTAGTAATATTTTCATGTAATTTTCATGGTCTTTCTGAACTCCAGCTCCACAATAGATTCGATCATATTGGTGACTGTCAGATGCTATCTGGAGGCAATTGCCAACCACAAATGCAGGTTCACAGAACTCAAATCTGCATAGAAAAACAAATGCAGTTTAATTAAACAAAAGATTATATCTAAAAAAAAAAATAATATGAGCCAGTTCTTTGATATAATAAAGTTACTATTATAAGAATAAAGTATCATTATAAAACTTGAAGATTAACATTGGTCAAATGTATTGTTTTATTAACACGTTTCGGAAACATTAACCCATTCTTGGCTACAATAAAGCCTCACATATATCTTAAAGAAAGAATAAATAAATAAATGCCCATTATAAAACCAATCTTGTGATTCCCCACAAATGATATAATAACGAGAATTGAATGGGTCAAATAAATTAAGACAAACATCACGTTCCACTGCTCTTTACAAAAAAAAGAAAAAAGGTGATGGGCCAGTGGAAATGCTGAGGGCTTGTACAATACTCATCCTGGTGTTATACTGTTGCCATAGGTTAACTTAGCAGAGCTTTGTCAAGAGAGGACACCGATGTCCTGACCTATATTCCCTGGTAACCATTAAGAATTAGAACATTTTCCTAGTTAATTTTGGCTGAGGAAAATACAGGATTGATATAGTAATCAGAATAGCACCTTTCCTTAGTGCTTCTTTGGCCTCTGGTCTCTCTTAACCAACAAAATAAGAGATGTGTTTTCAAAGAAAAGGTATTTTAGCCAGGCCACTCCTTTCTGGTTACAGTGTTGGTTCATGGTGAATCCTACTTAAAATTCTACATTAAAATTCTATTTAGATTTTTAATTTATAAAATTGTGATAAGCAAAACTGAAAGCAACTTCCAATATAAAACATAATTAAAACTCCAATGTAATAATAAAATATGTAATCCTAATTTGTATTATCCTTTCACTTTTAAATTGACTGAAGCTAATATGATCATGCAGCAAAATCAGGCTTATCATTTGAGGATGAAATACTTCACACGTTAAAAGTTTTAGCATGCAATGAAAAATAGCATTTGTTTGAATCACTATTCCATAGTAACTAATAGTAGACACATTATGCTTCCATTAAAGTTCCCTGAAACACACACATATTATAAACACTTAGTTTATCTGCATTATGCCCTGTCCTCAATTTCCCTTCATGTTGGCAGGAGTGTGGGAGGGGAGTGGATTTAGCAGTATATTCCCTATAACTTGTGTTGTCTCCATACCCTTGCACTAAGATGGGACATGGCCTGTTATTTACTTTACTCACCACCTCTATGCTGTTCACATTTTTCAGGTCTCTTCCAGGCATATGCTCCCTAACATACAAGGTACATCCAAGTTACATGAAGTGCTATGTGGGCTATTACATCTTCTTAACCAAGGTGTCCTTACAGTCTCATTAACCCACGACACACGCTAGGCTGTAGCCAGAGGAAGGCCCTGGCTTCTAATTCCTTAAAGGCATTATCACAAACTGTTCTGAAACCATCTCTTGTTGTATGCTCTGTTCTCCTGAATGATAAATGCCTGCTTCCCTTGAAAATACAGTTCAAATTTTAGCTTCCAAAAAAGTATTTTCCAACTCTATCATAGTGTCTCATTCTTCCTATTTACACAGCACACACAAAATTTACCCAGGTTAGAAACTATGCTTTCTCTTTTATGACACATCTCTGCTTGTCTAAAATATGGTCAAAATAAAATGTCTTGGATTTTAAGTATTAGATACTAGTGGTTTAATCATTTATATAAAATTCATAATTTGTTATTGTTGTTGGTAAGTGCCATCAAGTCAACTTTGACTCATAGTGACCCTGTATAGGGTTTCTGAGGAGCAGCTGATGAGCTTGAACTACTGACCTTGCAGTTCAACCACAGTTCAGTACATTAACCCACAACGCCAAACCAGGACTCCATCAAGTAAGTATCTCTTAAAAGCGAAATGTGAAGATTATTATTTTCAATAAAGTCTCTCTAAAACTCCTACACAAAAATTCCTTTTAAAGAATTGAACTTTATAATGATTTGTCATTCTTATAATCTTCAGTGTGAATGTGAGAATGAAATTAAATAACTAGTGAATTCTGAACTGTTACACCTTTTATCATGGATGTTAAATGCAGTCAAGTCGATTTGGATTCATGGTGACCCCATGTGCCACAGTGGAACTGCCCACAGGGTTTTCTAGGCTGTGGTCTTTACGGGAACAGATCGCCAGGTCTTTCTCCCTAGGAGTTGCCGGATGGCTCTAAACTACCAACTTTTAAATTAAAAACTGAGTGCTGAACTGCTATGTCTACAGAGTTCCTTTTTTCATTAAGTCTGTGAAATCAGCTCAAAGTATGCTTATAGCTTGAAAAGCTTCCTACTAGTTACAAATACAAGAGAGACTACAGAACTATAACCGAGGAAAATACCAATACAGAACAGCAACTTACAAATTTAAATAAACAAGTCTCATATTAGTGATACTTTACAAATTCTCATACCCAGCAAAAGAATTAGAATTTAGTGCCTAATTCTAAAATCAAATGTGTGACTCTGGGCAAGTTACCTTATGCCAGTAATTAGCACAATTCATTCAGTGAAAAAGTATTTACTGATTACCATCTGTGTAAAAGTACTAGGAACACAGTGGGGAGTGCGTAAGGAGCCTACAAAGAAAGCATCAAACAACCCCTTTAATTAAAGTGTAATGTATGCCTGTGACAAATGTCTAAAGGAAGGAGATATGATCCTGTTAAGGTTGAAAGTGATAGAAAACACACTTGGGAGGTCAGAGAAAGATTCCCCCAGGAAACACAAGCTGTGATATGAAAGGTGAGACCAGAACAGTCCAGAGCTCCACTAGACAATATGGTAGACACTAACCACATGGATTCTGAGACCTTGAAATGTGCTACTCCAAGCAGATGTACTATAAGTCTAAAATTCACATGGGACTAAATGATTTGGCAGCTACCAACAAAAACAAGAATTTAAAGTATCTCAATAATGTTTTTAAATTTTTATATAAAAATAAAAGGCTGTTTCAATAGCCACATCAATTGAGAATATTAGACTGTCCTACTTACACAGGTTAACAACATTTATACAGCTAAACAGGAGCTTTAAATAAAACTTCCTTAAAAGAAACACAATCTTTCCTTTGAAACTTCCTCCTAACTTTCTATCTCTGAATATTTCTCCTGAATTTTAACTGTATCTTATTCATCACCTATTATAATTCTCAAAATATAGCTAATAAGTGAACCCATGTAAGAAAACAAAATACTTTGCCTTACCTACCAATTCTAAAGAACCCAATTTTGACCCACAAGTGAACCAAATTTGACAAATTAAATATGCTAATTACAGAATCCCAGGGCTAGAAGAAAACCCTGCACAGAAATAGCTACAGTAAAGGCACATGCCTATAGCACTCTCTATATTAATATGATGGTTAGTGTATTATTAATTTGATACTATGATAATTTGGCTTCAAGTTACAGAATACATGATGTTTCTAACATGCCAAAAAACAAAAACAAAACACAAGCCCTTCACTTTAGTGAAGAAATCACATGTCTTATCCCTGAAAGACACTTTTTTTTGCCTTCCTTAAAGTTTTAAATTGGTTGGTTGTGGAGTCGGTTCTGACTCATAGCATCCTGTACAGGATTTCTAAGGCTCTAAATCTTTAATTAAAGTGTAATGTATGCCTGTGATAAATGTCTAAAGGAAGGAAATATGATTCTGTTAAGGTTGAAAGTGACAGGAAACATACTTGGGAGGTCAGAGAAAGATTATGAGAGCAGAAAGCCTTTATCTTTCTCGAGTAGAACTGCTGATAGTTTAGAACTGGTGTCCTTGAGGTTAGCAGCCTGACATGTAACCACTACGCTACTACAGCTCCTTAGCCATCCTTATTCAACAATTAAGTTGTTGTTGTTGTTAAATGCCATTGAGTCAGTTCCAACTCATAGTGACCCTGTATAGAGTTTCCGAGGAGGACTGTTAGGTAGTAGTTGAGAAAATATTTTCAATTCATTACAGTTCTGGTGGAGATAAGAACAAGTATATCTACTAATACCTATGGAGTATTCTGAAAACCTCACTGTACAGAAAATTAGATCTGCAAGTTCACAAATAATTTGTACTTGTGCAAATGGAATATACACTTATAATAAGCACATAAATCTTCACACTTACATGTCCAAATTAATTTTCTTTGTCAAAATATTCAAATTTGAAAGATTAATAGAATTTAGAAGACAATATTCCAAAAAGAGTAGATTATTTCTAGATATAAAAATAGTAACATTTTAAGGACATAAATAAAATTGGGGGAAAACTGTATAAGTTTTTCAATGTTGGCTCTCTAAAACATCTAGAATGTGATAGAAAATCCATATACCAGACACTTCACAAAAAATTCTAACAGTATCAATTTTGTTGTTGTTAAGTGCCATCTAGTCGGTTCTGACCCATAGTGACCCTGTATAGGGTTTCCGAGGAGTGGCTAGTGAGCTTGAACTGCCAACCTTGTGGCTCAAACCAACTTTTCAGTCCAGCGCATTAACCCACAGCACCACACCAGTTCTCCAGTACCAATTTAGCAGTAATAAAAACAATGTATGCCAGAGATAGTGTCATATATCTGGGAATTTTTTACACTTTAACTGTGGTTTGCCTTTACCAATCACACATGCATCGGTTACTCAAAACAAAATAAAACAAAAAAACCTCTCAAAATGCATGTTCTTAAAATATTTGTATATGAATTACGGATTATCTCTCCTAATTTATAGAGGTACACAACTGTATCTCTGATGATGTACTATGGTGCAGTGAATTATTGATCTCTTCTAGCTTTAGTCTTTGTAATTCCTACCAAATGAATCCTTTCCTAATGCATCTGAGTAACAGATGATAGTAAAAGTTACTAATGGGATGATGTGAATCATTGGTTACCAGAGTTAATTGTAATAGAAAAATCTTGTAACTTTAACATGGATATAAAATGAGTTCTCTCAAAAGCAGGGGAGGTGGGAATTTCACTACCACCAAAGAACCAGGAGTGGAACATGTTATTT